CGACAGGGTGAAGGAGGACCAGGAGGCCATGATTGACCAGAAGCTCTACGATGACGGCTACGACATTGGGTGGACCGGGGCGACGGGGCGAAGGAGGAGCAGGAAACCATCGTTGACCATGCGCTCTTCGATGACGGCTACGACGTTTTGCACTACGCGGACGGTCGCCACCGGTGGGACGAAGGAGGGGCAGGAGGACATCATTAACCAGGTGCTCTACAATGCCGGCTACGACGCCGGGTAAGAGGACGTGGAGGGCTCTGGCGGCGGTTTCGGCGGTGCGGCTGGGGTGGCGGCGGCGTTGGCGGGGGCGTTGGCGGCTGGGGCGGGGGCGGTGGCGGCGGATGTGCATGGCGACTCTTTGTATGATGAAGGTACTCCGCTGCAGGGCTGACTTCATATCGTGGACAGGCAAGATGGCAAATTTCGCGTGGGACCCGATGTGTGTGTGTGTGTGCAGAGTTGGGTGGCGAGTTTTTCCGACCTGAGGGTGGCGACCGTCTTCGTTATTATAGTCCCTATTCGACGTTTGCTTGTGCGGATGATGCTCGTGGTGCTGACTCTCGAGGTGCTGATCATCCCGTGGTGCGTGCACGATGGTGATAGTCCATTGGGTCGGCACCGTGGTGATCGCGATAGGACGGCTCGTGGTGGAGTACGTGGCGCAGGGGATGGTGATCTGCATCGCCTTTCTTCGGTCCCTCAACGTTTTGTTGTTCGTTTCTTGCTCTTCGACTTGCCTGCGGCGGTCCAGGAAGAAAACATCCGCAAATACATCGGCGCGACTTGATGAGGTGACCTTGCAGAGAATCGAATCCAATGGGCATGTTGCGGGGTCGGTGAGGTACGTTTCTCCGTCGGCCAAGCTTCGTGACCTGATCTTTCGGACCAAGCGCGTGGTAACAGGGTACCCGATCCAGGTGCAGGTGCACAGGAGGCAGAAACTGGGAAACTTCAGAACTGCCCTAAATGAGAAGAAGGCTCGCTGGAAACAGGAAGCTGCGGATAATGTGAAGGCGGAAGCGGTGGCGAAAGCGCAGCAGGGAGCTGCGGTCCAGGGGGGAAAGAAGGCTAATGGCTAAGGAGAGGTCCATCAAGGTCTTGGCTGAGTGACGCCGTGCGGTGCGCGAAGGCAGGGTGGTTGACGTGAGGATTGAGGGTTTAATACAACTCCTCCTCCTCTTCCTCCTCTTCCTCTTCCTCCTCCTCCTCCTCCTTCTCCTCCTCCTCCACTTCCTTGTGTGCACGCGCGCTTCGCGCAGGAGACAGCGGACATCTGGAAGAAGACGCGCGGGGACAGGAGAGGAGGCGAGAGGCGCAGGGAGCAGGAGTGCCGACGCCCCTCTTGGGAGATCGTCGATGCGATGGGCTTCCCAAGAGGATATATTGACGAGCACAACTCCCCCAGCGGTTGGCTGGAGAGAATGTAACGAAAAGGGATCCCTGACGCACTTCGCCCGCGATCGTCTCCGTCCATCCGCCTCTGCAGGAACGCGCTTCCAGGGGCGGCGCAGGAACGCGCCGCTGTGGCGAGGATTCGGGGGCGGGTCGCTCCTCCTCTTCTTCCTCCTCCTCCACCCCCTCCCCTTCCTCCTCCACCACCTCCCCGTTCTCCTCTTCCTCCTCCTCTTTCTCCTCCTCTGGACGCACTGCATCCCTCCTGCGACACTCTCACGTTTGGCCGTAGGGGCTCGTGAGCAGCTCGCAGGAGGGATACCGTACCCACGTAAACCGACCCAGACAGAGAGGACACACACTCAAAATGAGGGTGAGCAGTCAGTGCGCTTCTGTAGTTTCTCGCAGGCTGACGCCACTCGAACCATACCGCAAGTATCTAGAACGAGCGAGAGGTTTCGTACGCTAGTCGCTAGTGAGGGAACGCCGTCTCTCAGCCCCACCTCCCTTCGTGCGCCGACCCCCCCCCCGAGCCGAAGCGAAAGGGCAGGGGGCGGGGGGGTCCGAGCAGGAGCGAGGGGGAGCGAGCGAGAGGGCACCCGTGAAGCGGGTGTTGCACTGCCCGCAGGCCCCCTGCGCGGGGGGGGGGTCGGTGCAGGATGGGCCCGAGCGTCCATTGACGCCCGCGACGTTTTTCCTGGAAAATCACCACAGCTGGGCTTGTCTGTTTTTGTGAAGTTGCGATGTCCTGGAGGCGAGAGTATCGCCGAACAGGCCCGAGAGCTCCATCGATCGATCGACCCTCCTCCTGCTCCACGACCACCACCACCACCACCACCACCACCACCACCACCACCACCACCACCACCACCACCACCACCACCACCACCACCACCACCACCACCACCACCACCACCACCACCCAGTTAGCTGTGCCAGTTCGTCGAAGGCCCCCGGGCACCTCCCATTTAGTTTTTTTCGGTTTCTCTGGGTTTTCGGGGGGGGGGGGGACCCCCGAAAAAACAATCATCCAGTTTTTTTGGTTCGTTTCCATCCCCCCTTTTCCCCGGGGTGGAACCCCAGAAAAACAAAACAACTCTAAGTTTTTTTGGGGGGATTCTGGGACCCCACACTTTAAAAACATACTATTCATAAGCCACCTGGAAAAAAGCCTCCCCCCAACTCGTTTTTGTTCCCCCCCTCGGGGGTTCTGTTCCAGGGTAGTCCAGCTGGGAAAAGCTCTGACAAAAAAAACAAAAAAAAACCCAACTCGGGTATTTCCGGGGGCTTCCAGCCAACTCAGGCACCGAAGCAAAAACCCAACTCGGATTTTTTTGGTGTTTCTCATTAGGTTCTGGGGCCCCATTCCTCTTCTTATATTTTTACAAGCCCGTGCGGGGGAAAAACCCGTCCCCCTCCAAAACCGGACTCCCAGGATCTGGAGCTGGGACCCTCCGGACGGGCCTCGAAGCGGCCCCCTGGACCTCGCAGGGCGTTTTGCCAAGCCTTCCCAGCACACCTGGGGCGATCGGGGGGTCATCGGAGACGTCCCAGAGAGCCCCATGACAGCACAAGAGCGCTCCAAGAATGACCGACGTGACCTCAAGATGGCCCAACAGGCCTCGAGGACAGCCCCAAAGAGGCCTCCCAGAGCACTCCCAAGAAGGCCCCAAGAGGCAAAAATCATTGATTTAATTTTTTTTTTTGGGGGGGGGGGGAATTTTGGGGTTTTCCTACTTTCGGCCTCCCGACGCTCCAAGACGGCGGTCTTCTGGGCGTCCGAAGCCACCTGGGAGGCTCCCAAAACGCCCCACAGCCATCCGAAAGGGCTTCCAGGCAGTCCGAGAGAGCCCCAAAACGGCACAACAGGGGTCCAAGATGGCCCTCAGAGAGCCCCATGGCGGCCCAAGATGGCCCCAAGACACCCTCCGAAGCATTCCAAATCGTGACCCGGTCGTTCAGGGAGACCGCGGTTGGAGGCAGGGTGGCCCGAGGAAGCCCCCAGAGGCCCCCAGAACACGCCCAGGAGGCCTCCAGAAGGCCTTTGGAAAGCCTGAAACAACTTTTGTGAGGCCCCCAGAGGCTCTCCAAGGAGGAGCCACCGCAAGAAAGAGCTGAGGAGGATGGGGAGAATGCGCAGGACATGGCGAACATGAGGAACAATAAGCATGGGGGAAGGATAACGAACAACATTATTATAGCGGCGATGCCAGACAAAAACAACAACAAGGAGTCATCGCTAAATTGGCGGCTTGTCCTTCTTGTTATTCCGCCTGCATACCAAACTTCAAGGACCAAGGTGCATGGCGCGAAGCGCTACTGCAGTTTTGTATGTATATATACACATATGTATGTCTACATAGATGTATATGTATATGTATATGTATATGTATATGTATATGTATATGTATATGTGTACGCAAATGTATATGTATATGCATTTGTATAATTACATGTATATGTATATGTATATGTACATGCATATGTATATGTATATGGCTATGTGTATGTATATGTGTATGTATAGTTATATGTATATGCATATGTATATGTATATGTATTTGTGTATGTATATGTATATGTATATGTATATGTATATGTATATGCAGACGTATATGCAGATGTATATGCATATGTACATGTGTACGTATATGCATATGTATATGTATACGTATATGTATATGTATGTGTATGTGTATATGTATATGTATATGTATATGTATATGTATATGCATACGTATATGCATATGTGTATGTATATGTATATGTATATATATAAGTACATGTATATGTATATGTATTTGTATTTGTGTATGTATATGTATATGTATATGCATTTGTATATGTGTATGTATATGTATATGTATCGGTATATGTATATGTATAGATATTTGTATAGATATATGTATATGTATATGTAGTTTTGTATGAACATATATATACACATATATATGTGTATATGTATATGTATATGTATATATGTATATATGTATATGTATGTGTATGTGTATGTGTATGTGTATATGTATATGTATGTGTATGTGTATACGTATACATATATGTATATGTATATGTATATGTATATGTATATGTATATATGTATGTATATGTACATGTATATGTATATGTATGTGCATATGTATATGTATATGTATATGTATATATGTATGTATGTATGTATGTATATGTATGTATGTATGTATGTATGTATGTATGTATATATATATATAAAAATAACAATGCTACTTCTGATATCCCCCCCAGGAAATCCCTGAGAACCCCTTCGGTGTTTCGGGTTTGTTTCGAGGGGTTCTCTGGCCAGCCCCGGATTTAGGATTTTCCAGGGGGACATAAACCCAATTCTCTGTTTTTTTTCATGGGTGTTCTCCGGGGGGAACTTTCGAAACCAAACGCAACTCTGATTGTTTTTGTTTTTTTCGGGGGTTGTGGGGCCCCAGTTTAGAAACGGCACTACTTCCGAAAACCTTTCGGGACACCCCAGAACAAAAACATGTGGTTTTTGTTTGATTTTTTAGGGGTTTTCTGGCCAGAGCTCAGGCTTTGAGATTCTCGGGGGGGGAAGCCACGACCCCCCCCTAACTCGCGTTGTTTGACGACCTCTCCAACTCATTTTTTGCTTGCTTGTTTCGGAGATTCCCCGGCCAGCCCAGGCTCCCGGATTCTCCGAGGGAGAACCTGTGAAACATATTCTTTTTGATCTACAGGGCGAGAGCGAGCCTCTTCCGCTAAAAGCTCCGCGGGACGCGCGCAGGTGTAATTGACAGAGAAGGGGCGGGAGCAGGCGGGGCCCCACACGGCCAGAAGTGGGCGAAGCCCAGGGATCGGGCGGTGCCGAACGGGACGTGCAGGAAAAGGTACACTGGACAGGAGCCCGGTGGTGAAGTCCCGGGAGGCGAGAGGGTCGGTGGTGCAGCCGTCAGCGGCGCTTCGCGAACGCCAGCCTCGTGTGCTGCGGGAGAGGGCGCGCCACTTGATCAGGTCGACGCCCGAGAGAAAGAGGAACACCACGAAGTAGGAGAGCAACGCTGTGCCACCAGAGTGATGCCGGGAGGACCAGTCGTGGTAGTCCACTCCACAGGCATGGGGGCCCGCAGCCTGAGGCACGGCAGCCAGGCGAACCGAAAACTTGCCGCCGTTGACCGACAGGATGCCGGTGCGTTGCAGGGAGAAAGTCTGCCCTGCGCCGGCAAGCGCGTTTCGCTGCCGATCCGCAGTGTCGAGGGCCGGGCCTGAGCCGCGTGGCGCCAAAAACAGAGGGGCCGCCGAGGCGGAAAGAAGCAGGCGCCCGGCGCCGGGCCGGAGCCGCGCAGTGCCGGGCGTTTTCGCCATGGGAGGGGGGGTAGCGAGCGGGGAGGGGGGAAGCGGGCAGGAAGGAGAAAGGCCAGCCCAGCGAGCCAGCCCCCGCGTCGGAGGAAACACGCAGCAGGGTGAATCAGGGCACCCTGCGGGATCAGGAGGGACTAGCGGTCCCAATGCCAGTTGAAAGACAGAGGAGGAAGCGGGCGCCGCCCTGCCGAGCAGGGGGTCGGGCGGTCCGGATCAGGTAGGCCCAGCGGATCAGGGGGACTAGCGGTCCCAAATCCAGGTGGAAAGTGCGGGGAGACGGGGGGCGGTAGCCGAATGCGCGGCCCAGCCGCGCGCGTGAGAGCCCATTCCCTGCGCCCGTATTGGACGGCCTAGCCCGCGGGTTCCCGGGCTTTTGCGGACGGGCGCTCAGTCCCAGCTCTAGGCGGATCAGGGTGGGGATGAGAGGGGGCACGCTGTCCCAAGTCCAGTTGCGAAGGGGTGGGGGGGGGCAGGAGGGATCAGGATGGGCGTCTGGCCAGCGGCGTGCTGGCTGTGCGCGCTGGCCAAGGGCTTGCATGGATCAGGAGATGCCGGGAGCGGCGCCCTGTGCGCCGACGGGGGTGGCCAGTGCCAGAGCTGGTCAGCGCCTGAGGCGCCTCCCTGTCCAGTTGTCGGTGTACCCGGAACTGCGCGCCTGGCCATCTTTGCGTTCTTCCCCCTTGGTTACCTCCCTTTTCTTCTTGAACTCCTGGAACAGGGCGCTCCCCCGTTCCCAGTCCACGTAGACGCCAGTGTTCCCGGCCCACGTCTCCACGTGATGGTGGCTGTTGGCCATGTCCTCAAGACATTTGTCGATCATCTTGGGCTGCCAGAAGGTCGGGTCGAGCATGACTTGTTCCTTGGACTTGCCCTTGCCCTGATCCTAATACCTATGCCAGAACACGAGTGCCGGGCTGCGGTGAAGTGGTAGCCTCCCTCGGCCTCCAGCCTCTTCAGGTGAGTGGCCGCCGTCTCGTGTTGGCGTCGCGGCCAGCTGACGCGGCGGGCTTCTCAGGGGCGGGCGGGATCAGGATGGCGGCGATCGTCCCTGTGCTGAGGGTTGCGCCGATCGCTCTGCTGGTGCCAAGGGGCCCACCCTATATGTTCCTGTCACGATCGCGGTCATAATCGCGGTTGCGCTCTGGCATGGTCCCGATCGCTGGTGTCCTGCTGGTGCCAGGGGGCCCGCCCTACGCCCCTGTCCCTGTCGCGGTTCCGGTCGCGGTCGCGCTGGTTGGCACGGGCCCGATCGCTGGACTCTCTGGACTCGCGCCGTACTGCGCTGTCGTACGGTTCCCAGGGGGCTGGAACCCACGGCCTGCCTCGCTCGCGCGCCCGTGCTCGACCGAGGGGCAGGCGCTGGGCGCGGCGCGCCCGGCTCCCGAGGCCGCGGTTCTGGGCCGCGCGTGCAGGGCGCGGCCGTGTCAGCGGCAGCCGTCGCGTGCACGGTCTGTCCCGTGGGTGCGCGGGCTGTCCCGTGGGCGCGCTCGGGACTGCTGCGTCGCACCTCGCGCGGGCTCGTCTCGGTTTGGCCCTGCTCGTGTGTGTCAGGGTCTGTGGAGGGTGAGACTACGTGGACCGTGCTTGTGTCCGTGTCCGCGCTCACGCCTCGGGGCATGATGCGCCGGCCACCCCTCTTCATGGCCTGCCTCTTCGGCGCACCCGAGCGGACGACACAGCGGCTGCCCAAGCGCAGCCCCAGGCTGTCCTGGACGAGGTGGTGAGGGTGGCGCGCGCGCCCTGGACGCCGAGTTTCGA